TGGGCAACCCGGCGGGGTTGCGATAAAAACCGTTAAATCTACTGGACGTCTTAATTTTAAAATAGAATGACATTGAAAGACTTCTCATAAAGTAAAATAAGATGAAAGATAATGAATCCTGCATTTCTAGTTGGTACAGCTTTTAGCATAGCATATTGGCATAAGAAATACCATTCAGGTACGATATGTAAGGGAGTAAGTAATCCACATGCTTCTACTGCATTCACTGGATGTGAGAAAGAAGAGAAGCCGAAATGAATTTGAAGAAGATATAGATCGAGAATTAATATCTTTCCATAGAAATCTTTACGAATAATGAGAGAACAAATGCAATTTTATGATTAGTGGAATTCCTTAAAGGAATATTAGAAGATAGAAAATGTAGATTAAAAATATAAAAAATGGCGGGGCCCTGGGGCATCCTGGCGGGCAACCCTGGCGGGGGCAACCCTGGCGGGGCAACCCTGGCGGGGGCAACCCTGCCAGGGGCAACCCTGGCAGAGGCCACCCTGGTGGGGGCGAACCTCGGAGACAACCCTGGTGGGGGCAACCCTGGCGGGGGCAACCCTGGCAGGGGCAAGGTGAGGTGTCAACATATATATATATATATATATGTCTGGACCCTGGCGGGGGCCACTAATAATGGAGAACTTTGGCAGGGCAACCCTGGCGGGGCAACCCCCGCCAGGAACCCTGGCGGGCAAATCTGGCGGGCCAACCTGGTGGGGGCAACCCTGGCGCGCCGATTCTGGCAGAGGCAATTCTGGTGGGGGCGAACCTCGGAGACAACCCTGGTGGGGGCAACCCTGGCGGGGGCAACCCTGGCAGGGGCAAGGTGAGGTATAAACACATATGTATATATATGTCTGGACCCTGGCGGGGGACACTAATGGAGAACTTTGGCAGGGCCCTTCATAGACAAGGACGACGAAGCATACAGGTGCACAATTCCTCAATAGGCGGCGAGGCCAATTTCGGGGGGCAACAGGAGGGGGCAACCCTAGTAGGCTAAAAGCAACGCTGTCACGGGGGCAACCCTGGCAGGGGCAACCCTGGCGGGGGCAAATCTGGTGGGGGCAACCCTGACGAAAAAACCCTGGCGGGGGCAACCCTGGCGGGGCAACCCTGGCGGGGGCAACCCTGGTGGGGGCAACCCTGGCGGGGGCAACCCTGGCGGGGGCAACCCTGGCGGGGGCAACCCCGGCGGGGGCAACCCTGGCGGGGGCATGACCCTGGCGGGGGCAACCCTGGCGGGCGGGGGCAACCCTGGCAGGGGCAACCCTGGCGGGGGCAACCCCTGGCGCGGGCGGCTGGCGGGGGCAACGCTGGCGGGGGCGGGCTGGCAGGGGCAGGGGAACCCTGCGGGGGCAACCGGTGGGGGCAACCCTGGCGGGGGCAACCCTGGTGGGGGCAACCCTGGCGGGGCAACCTTGGCGGGGGCAACCTGGCGGGCAACAGCTTCTTAGGCCCGACCTCCCCCACCGGGGTCGCGCGTTGGGGGTTTAGGGTTAATCCATTATTACATTGTGCCCTATGGCTAGCAGGGATGCATCAGGTGTGGCAAGCTCGATCTGCTTGGCAAAGCAAGCAGATCTCGAAGCGGTAGCGTTCAGTTGTACCGGCCGCCGCCTGGCGCGGGCGGCCTATGGTTTAGGGTTTAGGGTTTAGGGTTTAGGGTTTAGGGTTTAGGGTTTAGGGTTTAGGGTTTAGGGTTTAGGGTTTAGGGTTTAGGGTTTAGGGTTTAGGGTTTAGGGTTTAGGGTTTAGACACCTCTAAGCCCTAAAAGCCCCCCCAAAAGCCCGAAAGCCGCAGCCTAACCCCCACACTAAACCCGAAAGCCTCTACAACCCGTGTCTTCGACTCTGACAGCCCACACTTAACCCCCAAAAAAGCTTAACTCGCTTGACAATCACTAGGGGAGATATTAAACCCTAAACCCTAGAACCTATAAGCCCTAAACCCTAAATATCCCACCCCCCTCCCTGGGGTCGAAAAGCAGGCAGAGGGACCGGCGACGGAGAAATTCTGCAGGCTGGTCCCAGGGTTTGGGGGTTTACAGGCTTTTTGAGAAACTATAGGGCTTACAAAAAGAAGGGCTGTTCGGTTTGTATAGTGACTTCGGGTCAGGGTTTAGGTGGGGGGAAGGGGCGACTAGAAGGCGCTTGCATCTGACGATGTTGGTTTCATGCATGGGATGTGCGCGAAACCGAATGGCGCCTGCGCCCCTTTCTTCAGGGTGTTCCATGCGAATCCATTTCCGAGGCCATCGCCGCCTCGGTCTACGGTTCTCTAAACTCTGGCTGCTTGGAGGTTGTGGCACTTATATGAACCAATTATAACTGTACTTATAACCCTTAAGTGCCCTATTATGGTTAGAAGTACAGTAATCAGTACAGTTGTACCATGAACCTCCAAGTAGACCCAAACCGCTCGTTTAGGGTCCAGGGAAGCCGCACGTGTAGGGTGGCTTTGGCGTTAGGGAGGACCCCCAGGGATTTGAGGATCCCTACATGAAGTTACCTAGTCAATAGCTGAACTGACGAAGTTTGTGTTTAGGGTTCAGGAAACAATCAAGCTTGACCTTTTTGACCCTTGGATGTTGATGAAGCAAAGTAGACCTTGGTTCATGACAAGGATCCCTACACACTTGAAGGTCCTCTTGAGGCAGGCTTTTAGTATGGTTTTTGGTCATCGTATACACGCGAGTGTTTCTGCGGCTTGTCCATTTGGGGATACACGAAAATGAAGCCCTACTTCGTTCAACATCCCCTTTTATGACCAGCCCCACCTAGTGGGGGGACTAAATGAAGACTAAAAGGGAACATGGTCCATATACCTTAATCGAGATTATCATCGCGTAGGGTATATCCCTAAACCCTAAACCTAAACCCTAAACCCTAAACCCGAAACCCTAAACCCGAAACCTAAACCCTAAACCCAAGTTTCTGAAGGGGTATGGGGCTTGTTGGGTCAAACCCCAGGGAGCTGCTCCAGAATGAGTTGGTGCTGGCCATGCTGCAGGCACGGCGACAGACCCGCCTCTTCAGGCTCCTTTAGGGTTCAGTAGGGTTTGGAGCCTATAAGCCTTAAGCCCCAACCCCCCCCCCCCCCCCAACAAAAAACAAAAACTAAACCCGAAGCCCCAAACCACAAACCCTAATCCCCAAACCCCACACACCAAACCTCAAGCCCCAAGCCCCCCAACCCCAAAACCCTAAGTCCAAACCTCCCGAAACACCGCTTGGCCCATCCTGGCGAGTGCGGGTTGCCTAGGGCTTGGGGCTTATCATTTAGGGTTCAGGGTTTAGGGTTTAGGGTTTAGGGTAGTTTCATGGGCCCTTAATATGGTCCTTAGCCTCATTTAAAGGGTTCTGATGAATGGGCGCTCAAATTTGTATAGGGTATGTAAGGGGCAGAAGGGGTACCGGCGGGGTTCAGTGCTTGAGGTATTTATGGTTGAAGGTGTCGCGTACAGGCCTTGAAGCCCGGAGAGTTGTAGAGTCTGGATTTTATGCGTTGTTGGGGCTTCGGGAAGTAGTTCCCCCTGCGGGCTCCTACTAAACCACCGAATAGCAGCCCTGGGTGCTAAGTAGGAGGGGTTCTACGTTCTGTAATTTAACTAAGGTTACATGGTCCCGTAACCTGATCCCTTCCCTTCCTTGAAGGGTTCTGAATACACATGTGGGGGACATGATCGGTACATAACGGATCCCCAGAGTGAAGGGCCTATGTTTTAGGGGGTTTGTAGGAACCCTAGAATTTCTCCCTCAACCCTAAGCACGAAAGATCCGAAGAATCCTTGCCAGGGGTTTGGGTTTTTAGGGTTTACGTTTTTCAGAGTTTTGGGAACTGAACTTTCCACGAAGAGCCAGAACAGGGTTTAGGGTTTAGGGTTTGGGGTTCAGGGTTCAGGATTCAGGGTTTAGGTCTTAGGCTACGCACCTGGGTCCCACCTTCTGTAGCATCGGAAGTCCTCAAGCCAGCTCTCCCACACTAAACCCTAAACTCGAAACCCTAAACCCGAAGCCCTAAACCCCAAACCCTAAACCCAAAACCCGAAACCCGAAACCCGAAGCCCTGAACCCGAAACTTCCCGGCTCAGGGTAGGGCTTATGGCTTGAATGGGGCATGTAGGGCCCCGGCTTTTGAAGCCTACATCCTGAACTCTCAGTCGCCCCTTTTTGGGCTTAGGGTTTAGGGTTATTAGGGTTTAGGGTTTAGGGTTTAGGGTTATTAGGGTTATTAGGGTTTAGGGTTAGTAGGGTTGAGGTTTTGCCTCTCAGGATACCTTTCTCCTGTGGGCTGGCGATGTTTGCCGTTTTGAGCCTTCGCAGATAGCGAGGCCCGAGGCTTTCGTGCGGGGTCGATATGGTTGAGGTGTACTAGGCAGGCCCTTGGAACCTTTTCTATGTCCCCTCATTGGGTCGAGGAGGATCATGTTCAAGAATATTTTTCGGAGGGGTCGTTCAGGGGTTGGGGTTACACAGGTATTTAAGGCCTATCTTGACCTGGCTTAAGAGACGTCTACCCAGACCGTCCAGACCCTGGGAGGATAGATTTCCTGAAGGGTTCTTAAGAATTACCCCATAGTAGTATGGGGTACTTTGGGGGTTCTATTCTTTGGATCCTCGCAGGGGTCTGGGTAAGCTCGGGAGGAAGTTCATTTGAGGGGATAGTATAGGCTCGTGCGCTCAAAGGTTCTCACGTTTTAGGGTGTAAGCTTTAAGGCTTCATGCTTAGGGTTTCGGATTTATATGTTTGTTTAGTTCAGGGTTCTGGGGTCTTGGTAGGTAGGCTTGCTCCGCAGGGGACAGAAGGGCATCGTTTTGTTCGTTCTGTTCCATTTGGGGGGGGGGGGGGGGGTTTTCTGACATTAGGGGATATAGGGGTACCTTGTTGGGGTAGGGGATCCTACTACCCTCAACCCTAAGCCCTATTGGGGGGGGGGGGGGGTCTTCTTTGCGGGTCCATCTTTTTCGGGCACCCCCATTTCTTGCTTCACAGTTCGCTGTGATCCTCTCTGAATCAACCGTGGTTTTCCTTCACAGATACTTCCAAACCTAAACCTTAACCGCCTTAACCTAGGGTCTCAAAGATTGAGCCGGCCAGCCCTTAGATCATCGTCAGCCCCAGCCGTGAAATTTGCTGAGGCCCCCCCCCCCCCTGCCCTCTCCGTGCCGTGAGGCTGTTCGGGCTAACGAAGTTTCCGAGCCTGGTCTTGCTCCAGCCCCTGGCCAATGGCTTCGGCACAGACTTGCCGGGGGCTTGAGAACTGGAGCGAGAGAGAGTGAGAGAGAGAGAGAGAGAGTGAGAGAGAGACAGCAAAAAAAAAAAAAAATATATGTATATATATATATATAAACAACATATTTCGATAGAAATCGCGAGAGAGAGAGAGAGAAACAACAAAAATGAGAGAAAGAGAGAGAGACAGGGAGCCCGACAGAGAGCGAGACATAGGGAGGGAGGAGGAGGAAGGGAGGGAGGGAGGGAAGGACGGAAGGATGGAAGGACGGAAGGAGGACTGGCAGGTAGGAGGGAGGGAGCTGAGAGTTTATCCCTGCAAACCGAAGCTTGAACCCCAAGTCCTAAAACCCCAAACCCTCAACCCTAAGTTTAGGGTTTAGGGTTTAGGGTTTAGGGTTTAGGGTTTAGGGTTTAGGGTACCTCAAACCCCAAAACTCTAAACCCTTTTCAGGCCCGACTTGCGACTGCCAATACGCAGTGTGTGTCTCTATGTCCTTCCCCCTACACTCCTAGGTAGGCTAAGGGGGACCCTTCAAAAGGGGACCCTTCTTAACCCTTTTCTGGCTCTCTTGAACATGGACCTTATTCAGAGGGTCTATTTCCCCAAGGGTCCCCCTAATCCTACCCCCTATAAACCCTCAACCTCAAGCCTTCCCACCGAAATCGAGGCCGAGAAGCCCTTTTTAGCTTGGATCGGGAAAATAGGGTTTAGGGGTTTTTAAGGCTTATAGGGTTTACCGGGCCGTTAGGGTAAGGGTTCAGGGTTTTTCGGGTTTGGGCTTTTTAGAGCGGAGGGTTCCCTAAAGCATGCCCCCCCCCCCCCCCCCCCTGCTGTTCTTCAGGTGTTTGCGGTTGAGGGCCACTTAAACCTTATCCCTTCAGGGTTTAGGGTTCAGGTGTTTTTTTGCATGAGGACCACTTGAACCTTATCCCTTCAGGGTTTAGGGTTCAGCTTTTTTTTTCTCAACAGGCTTTCAATGAGGTTCAGGCCAGAGAAGAAACCTCAGGGGCACTTGGGACTGCGCAGCCTGTCGGATTTTGATTTGCTTCGCGTTGATTTCTTGGGATTCGGGGTTTTGGGTTTGGTGGCAGCCCTACACCCTAAACCCTAAACCCCAAGCCCCAAGCCCCAAACCCCAAACCCCAAACCCCAAACCCTAAACCCTAAACCCCAAACCCTAAACCCTAAACCCTAAACCGTTACCCACGTAATTTCGGAGCGGGCATGAAATGAGACTGTATCTTCAGGCACGCCGGCCTTCTGCAAGGGTCCATCGGAACCACCACCATGCATGTCTCCCCTAAACCCTAAACCCTAAACCCTAAACCCTAAACCCTAAACCCTAAACCCTAAACCCTAAACCCTAAACCCTAAACCCTAAACCCTAAACCCTAAACCTGTTCTCGGCCTCCACAAGCCACGTTTCCAGGCTTGAAAAAAAGGGGCGTGGCGGCTCCATTTTCTCACCCCGACACCCTGAACACAACTTGGTGATTTTTATGCGAGGCCTGGGCCAATGCTCAAGGGACCCCTGCTCCCCAAACTACACGTAAAGCCCTACTTCCACGTGCCCAGAACTCTCCAAACATGCTCGACGGAAACAGAGTTTTGAAGCTCTTTGCGGCTGCGTGCTTTCCTTAGGCAGGTTACTGCAAGTAGACTCTCAAGTAAGCCCTCTGGGCATTGACCTGCCCAGTTTGTGCGTCGAATGGCCCCTGGGAACTTTTTGCCAGCCACTACATCGCTGTTTGTCGCAGGCTCAGCTTTGTGTTGGCTCCTGCACATCAGACAGGGAGGGAGAGCTTCGACTTTCGATTGCACTTTCCTTGGAGGTTGGCGGGTAGTTTTTGCTGGGGTCAGACGTAGGGTTACTGTAGTCGGAAGCGCTTCTGATCCGATTTGGAGCTCTTCTTGCTCTATTGTAGTTTTCCTTGAAGCTTCAAGCAGATGGTGACCATGAGGCCTGAATCTAGAAACCTCAGCAAACGCAGTGCTTAAGGCAAGAAGCAAAATGCAAACACCTAGACCCCAAACCCCTGAAATCTGTTGAGGGGTTCCTGATTATGAGCGCGCTGCATTGACATGCGGGTCCCAACACCTTGGGGACCAAATGAACCCCAAAAAGGGTTAATGGCTCATATACACCTTCATAGGAATTATCGCAGTATAGGGTACCCTAAACCCTGAACCCTAAACCGCAATTTTCGGGTTCGTTTGGTCCTTCAGGAACAGGGGACCGATGCCCTGAGGCCCGAGCAAGATGGGTCTGCACCCGACATCGACCTGGTTCCTTGCCCGACTTCGCTGTGCTCGAGCGTGTTGAAAGTTTAGGGTTGAATGTTTAGGGTTTAGGGTTTAGGGTTTAGGGTTTAGGGTTTAGGGTTAAGATGCTGAACCGCAACCCTAAACCCTATTTAAAACCGAAACCCGAAATTTTCATGAAGCATGCGAGCCCCGAAAGCACCACGCGGCACTGGGGGTTACTGTGGTCAAGGGCAGACCTGCTGGGCAAGAGTCGAGTCATAGGACCTGGAATGAGAGCATATCACAAACTCAAAATGGGGGGTGGGGGCGGGGGGTGTACCCTCTAATGCACCCCCCCCCCCATTCTATACTCGTTTATCCTGATCTCAGAAACGCCCTAAACCCTCAACCCTAAACCCTAAACCCTAAACCCTAAACCCTAAACCCTAAACCCTGTTGGAAGCTTCCCCACCAAGGTCTCTGAACCCTCTAAGCCCTAAACCCCCCTGCAGTGCTTATGCCTGGACCTTTAGAAGGCTGAAGCTGTTCGTCTTGTTTTATAATTTATGTATATATGTATATATATATATATATATATTTATTTATTTATTTATTTATATTTATATTTATATTTATATTTATATTTATATGTGGTAACAGATCCTCCTGTGGTCCACCTTCTTGCTATTATATATATATATAATTATATTATATTCCATGCTGTTCTATTCTATTATGTTATGTTATATTATATTATATTATCGATTGTATATTATCGATTGTATATTATATATTGTATATTATATATTGTATATTATAAATTGTATTTATTATGTGATATTATATTATATTATACTATATATATATATATATAGATATAGATATAGATATATATAATCATATTATATGAGCTTCTACAATATTATATAATGTTATGTTCTAGTACTATATAGCACAGAACATAGTATTTTGAGAAGGGTGGATCATTGGGCGCTCTCCTGGCATATATATATATATTATTTATTTATTGTTTTATTTATTTATTTATTTATTTATTTATTTATTTATTTATTGATTTGTTTATATACACATCATGCATATATATATATATATACATACAGGTCTTGGAGAAGAGGGAACTCGATAAGACATCAAACCCTGAACTCTAAACCCGAAATACACGACAGAGCTAGATTCCAGGATCCATGTCCCGGAACCACTCCTGGTAGCGCTAACGATCACCGAGCGGTGACGGTTTTGGAGGCCTGCGGCCTTACTATCCCAAAGGGTCCATGTACCTATATAGTATATACTTGGGCCCTAAAACTACTAATATGGGAACCCTTGAAAGCTCAAGCATATACTATATGGGTACATGGACCCGTAGGGAATGAAGAAAACAGGCACAGAAGCCGGCCTGCCTTTCGTTTCGGAACTCGTGACGTGAAGAGAAGCCCTCGCTGGAAGAAGGCGCCGCGACAGCTCTAGGCAGTAGTGGCGCCAGCGGCAGTTCTGCCAGCCGTTGCCAAGAGATCGAAAACGCATCCCATCACCCGACATCCATGTTCGCGATTTTTGACTTTGTGCCTGTGGCGAAAGTATGTCCGGCCGCCATCCTTGTGGACCAAATGAACTCTAAAGTTGGGTTCATCTACCCTATGCTACGATAGTCCCTTCTAAGGTTCGTGAGCCATAACCCCTTTTAGGGTTCATTTGCTGATCCCAAGGATGAAGACACGAATGTGGGAGCTCTCTTGAAGGGTTACGGCCTTCTGCACGCGAACCCCCCGAAGCCCGACACCCCAAAGGAACCTGCGTCACACACCGGAAACAACCCAGAGATTTGGGCGGACAGTGCAGACGTAGAAAACCTAGGTTGAAGTTTGGGATGTTTGTTTTTGCAGTTTCCTGATTTTGCGCCAAGAAGGGACCCTACGTACAAATACGTTCCAAAGGGTTTATTTGGAGTCTCTAATGTAGTCCCTTTTGGGGTTAGTTATAGGGCTTCTCGTATACTTGTACCCCCAAAAAGGTACTACATAGGAGCATCTAGGTAAAGGCCAACCTCGAGGCTCTCACCATCTTTCGTGGGGCATCTCCCCATGCACCCTACACCCCATGCCTTGGGGTTCAACGGTCTCGGGCCCGAAACTCACACATGAGTCGTGGGTGCTTCTGTTATTCACATAGGGTTCCTTGTAAATATTGGTTCGTGCATAAATGAATACATGTATACATATATATATACATACATGTATACATATGTATGGTAATTATATTTATATATGTTGTTGTATATGTATATGTGTTTGCGTATGTATATGTATATATATATATATGTATGAGTTGCTAGTATCTGAATGAGAACCTAAACCCCAAACAGAGGGCCTCCCCGACACTGTTGCGAGGCCATAGCAACCCTCACGACGACTTCGCAGGTGCAGCTGCCTGCACACTGTGAACCCTAAATTTCCCTAAGCCCTTAACCCTAAACCCTAAACCCTAACCCCTAACCCCTAAACCCTAAATTGTGCGGGGCTTAGGGTTGAGGGTTCTTTCCTCCCTAGGCCCTAAATTGCATGGGGCTGAGGGTTCAGGGTTCTTCCTCCCAAAGCCCTAAATTGTCTGTGGGGGCTTCGGGTTCAGGGTTCTTTTCTTGTTGCATGTCTTGGCGATATAAGTCAAGATGGATCCTAGCCCCCTCGCTCTCGGAGGGGAGATTGGAGATGCATGTTTAGGGCTTAGGGCTTGGGCTTCGGGCTTTGGGCTTTAGGGCTTAGGGTTTAGGGTTTAGGGCTTAGGGCTTTAGGCTTCAGGGCTTAGGGTTTAGGGTTTAGGGTTTAGGGGCTCAGGCCACCCTCAGCTGTGGGTCATTGGCTATATTTGCAAGGTGGCCCTCGGCAGACAGGGTACGACCTTGAGGATTCCGGTTTACTGGACCCTAAACCAAACAGGCTAAGACGTGCGAACATCCCCATCCAGTTCTTCTACCAAAGGCTTCAAATCTAGAAAAGTGCATATTCTCCCGACCTGGGTCTGACACCCCATAGCCTAAAGCCCGAAAACCCACACTTCAACCCTCAACCCGAACCCTATAGCCTGGACGTCTTCAGAATCTCCCACCTCCCCCTCTTTTTCTTTGTCATAGTTGGGTAACATTTTACATTTTTAAGGGTACTTAAACCCAATAAGGAATATAAATTTAAAATTTAATATTACCCCAACAATGAACAAGTTTTCAGGACTTCCTGGAAGAGGTGCAGATGGAGCAGGAGACCTGCACCATGCAGGGTTTAGAAGGTTTGCTAGCTTGGCTTTCGTGATGTGTTTATGATTCCATAATCATGTGGGTTTATGAGGGTTTAATTAGGGTTTAGGGTTTAGGGTTTAGGGTTTAGGGTTTAGGGTTTAGGGTTTAGGGTTTAGGGTTAGGGGCCCTATATGGACATTTGTCAAAGGGTTTAACGGCCAACCTAGTCTATGGCGTTCATGGTTTAGGGCTTATGGGGCTTAATGATGAGGCCCAGGGTGTACGGAGTTTAGGGTTTAGGGTGTGCCCAGGATTAAGGACCTTAGGCGCCTTAGGACTTAGGACTATATACAAATAGATAAAATGAATAGGAGAGTTCTGATAAATAAAAAATATATATATATATGTATACTAGAAAACAACATCAGTCCAGACGTTTCCTCCAGGCATATGTCAGCCTGTTGCAACTTGCCTTTGTAACAGAAGAGGCGCCCGAAGCGTGTAAAGTAATCTATGCGCAGGAAGGCATGTTGTCTCAGCCGCACCTCGAGGACCTCGCACCAGCACATGGGGTATAGCCAGTATAGCTCAAGCCCCCATGACGCAGCCTCGATATATTAAACCGTTCTGCACCGACTGAGTGCCTCAATCCTGCAAACCCAAAACGACAGGCAGTGGGCAGGGCGCCGGTTGGCCTATTGAGCCCTAGCGTTTCTTAAGTTCATGGGACCTAGCCTATAAGATCTCACTTACTTATGAAGCCCTTGCGCTGCCATGCGCTTGCAATCCTCCCCCTCCCACAAAACAACCACACAAGAACACGCAGAAGCCTGTCTGATCAGGCGTGCCGAAAGATCTCAGATCAGAACGCACGGGTTTGGAGGGTGGTGAAAACATTGTGTAGCTGCAGCTGAAGCTGGTTTGCAACCTCGCGTGGTGCCGGTCGTATCTGGCCTTATGAAGCCCCAAACCCTAAACCATCAACATTTTGCGTTAATGGTAGACTGCACTTTCTGAAGCATTTACAAGCATACTTCTAACTGCCCATGAGAAGGTTGCCCATGGGGTTGAGGCTTTAGGGTTTAGGGCTTAGGGTTTAGGGTTTTAGGGTTTAGGGTTTAGGGTTTAGGGTTTAGGGTTGAAGTGCACCCACAGGAGCAGCGCCAGCGACGCACCGCTCAGCTGACGGAAGCTCGGCAGCTGCGCGAGCAGCAGGCCGATTCTGGGTCGAGGGTTTAGGGTTTAGGGTTCATGGGGTCTAGGGTTTAGGGTTTGGGGTTTGGGGTTTAGGGTTCAGGGTTTGGGGTTTAGGGTTTGGGGTTCAGGGTATAGGGTTTGGGGTTTAGGGTATAGGGTTTGGGGTTTAGGGTTTGGGGTTTATGGTTCGGGGGTTTAGGGTTTTGGGTTTGGGGTTTAGGGTTTACTGTAGGGGATAGGGTTTGGGGTTTAGGGTTTGGGGGTTTGGGGTTTGCGGTTTAGGGTTTGGGGGTCTAGGGTTTGGGATTTAGGGGTTTGGGGGGTTTAGGGTTTAGGGGTTAGGGTTTGTGGTTTAGGGTGTAGGGTTCAGAGTTCAGGGATTAGGGATTACTTTAGCCTGTAAATTGCGGGTTGCATATATGAGGAATTCATACTTGGGCTGCGGGCCTTAAGGATTTGTTGCTTAATTAGAGTTATATGGGCTGTTCTCTTCATGTTTGCTGGGGTGGGTGGGAGGGGGGCAGTATATAATGTCTAGTGCGCTACTCGAAGACGTAACGTTGAACCCCAGGTTGCGCCATGCACAGGCGTGGGCGTATGCTGTATTCGAGAAAAGGTATTTCTTGGCGCATGTTGAAGTTGTCCATTGCATTGCGTACTGCTACCCCCACACCCTAATTGAACCCTAAACCCTATACAATCGGTTGAGAACAGTTTTTAAATTTCTGGTGTCGGTAAGGTGCCTGTCAACATAAGGACTTGCCCAGGGACGCGGACTCTTTCATGCTACTTAGAAAGTAGGGTTTAGGTTGAGGGTTTGGGGGGGCCCTCAGCTGCACAGGCCATAACTTTGAACGCCACTTTTGATATAAAAAAGCCGGCCCATGGAAACATACTAATAATTGGCCCGCAGCAGAAGTAAAAATAGGATGTTGGTGACGGTGGCCTGTTAACCTCTTATTGTAGGTCTTCATGAGTGAACTGGTGATGATGACAAGAACGCACCCTTGACAGCCGAGTGTGAGAGTGAATACGAGATCCTGTTGAGAGAATACTATGAACAAGGATGTGATTATGAAGAGCGCAGCATAGGGGTTTATCATAATAATAGTAAAGGTGTAGTGAATATAAGCCCTATTTATAATGTAACGAAGTGAAATAGGGCTTATAATGAACGAAACAAGCCATGGGAAGGAGAGTTCCGATCTCAGCCGATGAAGCCCGAAGGAACGCGGACCCGAAGTCCTGAAATCACGAAACTCATGAAAAATTGCCTATGCCCAACCAGCAGGACTCCTTCTGCCATAAGCGCTAGCACCCTAAGGACCAAGCGAACCCCAAAGTTGAGGTCATACAACCCAATACTATTATCATGCCTAAAAGAGGTATGTGACCCGTAAACCTCTTTTAGGGTTCATAGAATCCCTAGTAAGGTATATGAATCGTAAGCCCTTTCAGGGTTCATGTAGTCCCAAGTAAGGTATATGAACCGGTTCATGTCGTCCCAAAGGTAAAGCCCAAAAAAAAGCGCGGTCCAACCCAATACTCTATAATCTCTATGAAGGTGACCCATAAACGCCTTGAGACCTTGAGGGTTTATGTCGTCCCAAAAGGTAAAGCCCCGATTTTCGCACGGTCCTCGCCAGGACCTAACCCTAAACCCTAAACCCTAAGCCCTAAGCCCTAAGCCCTAAGCCCTAAGCCCTGAGCCCTGAGCCCTAAGCCCTAAGCCCTAAGCCAGGACCGCGAGTACGAAGAGGCACTCCTCCAGGACCAGCTCGCGGCGGTGCGCCGCGCCGAGGGCGGCGAGGAGCCGCAACCAGGTTTAGGGTTTGGGGTTCAGGGTTTAGGGTTTAGGGTTTGGGGTTTTGGGTTTGGGGTCTGGGGTTAGGGTTTAGGCCCTAAACCCCCCTTAACCCTATAAACCCTATACACCCTAATAACCCTATACGTTCGATAAACCCTGTAAACCCTATAAGTTTTACACATACTATAAACCCTAGAAACCCTACAAACCCCGCAAACCCTATAAACCCTATACACCCTATAAGCCCTGACATCTACATTTTCAGGGCCTTGGGGTTCGGCCTGGGGCTTGGGTTTTTTGCACTGTGCACTTGGAGGTTCCTGAGTACTTCTAACCCCAAATTTCAGTCTACTTATGACCTACTTCGATTAGAGTTTAGGGTTGAGGGTTTAGGGTTTATGGTTTTTCGAGGACTTAGGGGGCTTGTAAGTGCAGTTACAACTGGGGTTAGAAGAACCCATTCGATGCCTGCGCGTCTGCCCTCTTTCAGGGCTCTTGGACGGACACGAGGAGTGTGGGGTTTAGGGTTTCGGGTTTAGGGTTTTTTCGGTTGCTGGGCGACCTGCTACAGTATAGCATAGTGTCCTCACGTAGACCTCTCCGGAAGGGTCCGTATGTACCAGAATCATGGAACAAGGCGCTCAGAAGCCCTCTTTGGTACCGTCTCTGGGTGTCTCATTCCATAAAATCAAGTGAACTTCCCGGGTCTGATTTTCCTAGCCGCACGTAGGGGTCCCAACAGGAAGTACAATCTCGGGTCCGGGTTGGGTCTAGGGTTCATCGGGTCAAAAGTAAGACTTAAGGCGGCCCCAAACTTGAAGCCCTAAGCCCGGCTCCCTAAATTAAACCCATACACTCTAGACCCGGGACCTCCAAGAGCGTGCAGGGGTTTTGCGTCCTAAACCGCAAGCCCTAAACACTAAGACCCAAACCCTCACCCCTAAGCTGCGGGTGACTGTATGTAGAGTTGGGAGACGTCTAGGTGCTTGTCTTTAGGGCATCCACGGTTTTTTGAGCTTGGGGGCTAGTTGTAGTGTTGTTGGGGGGGGAGACTGAGGGCGGGCAGAGTTGCAGAAGTTGTTCAGGGTTTGGGGTTTATTTATAGGGTTGATGTACAGGGTTTAGGGTTTATCTATAGGGTTTAGGGTTTCTGGGGTTCAGGGTCTGTGGTTTATAGGGTTTAGGATGTCTAGATGGAGAGGTCAGCAACTCCCATGTCCGGGAATGCCAGGTAAGGGTAGCCTGTGTAGGGATACGGTTCAAGGTCTCCTTGGGGTGGATCGGGGACGAATGTCAAATCTGTGCCAGACGCTTCCGGCTATTCCTCACTTATGCTCTTGAATCCCGAACAACACCTGAACCCCATAGGTTCGAGAACCAAAAAAACTTCTGAATTCGCCAGCCCGCAAGCCCTCAAGCCCCCGAACCCCAAACTCTAAGTCCTAAACCCCAACCCCAACCCTCAAGTCCAAACCTTATGGACAAACCAAAACCCCAAGCACTAAGTCCCTTGAACTTCAAGCGCAGACCTGAGACGCGTCTCTAAACCCTAAACCCTAAACCCTAAACCCTAAACCCTAAACCCTAAACCCTAAACCCTGAGACAGGAGGCAGAGGCCCTGCCAGCGGTGGATGCAGCCGCAGAGGTTCATGGGTTTTGGAGTGCTACACTTCAATACTGTTTTTTCGGTTTAGGGTTCAGGTTTTAGGGTTTAGGGTTTAGGGTTTAGGGTTTAGGGCGAACTACACTTTAGTTCTTTGTTTTTTTCGTTCTGGGTTCCGATAATGGCTACTTTTACCGAAAAGGTATTGACTTTTTTCCAGGGTCTACTCCAAAGTAGAGGTTCAGACGCAGGGTTCGGAAGCTTTAGGGATTTCAGGGTTTTAGGCTTTTTGTTAAAGAGTCTTTAGGGTTTTTGGCTTTCATTTCTTGAGGGTCTTTCAGGCTCTTAGGGACTTTAGTGCGTTTGGGTTTTAGGGCTTTGGGTTGGCTGAAGAGTTGTTCAGGGTGTCTAGTCGGTTTGGGGGGGGGGGGGGGTGGTTGAGTTTTTTTTTGTTTTTTTTTTTTTTTTTTTTTTTTTTTTTGGGGGGGGGGGGGGGGGGTGGAGGGTTCGGAGCTTAGGGATTTGGAGTTTTGGCTAAGCAGCTGGATGTTGTAGGAAGATAGGTCGAGGTTTCGCTCTCTGTCTGAAGGTTGGATCAAGTCATGAAAAGCATCCATGACTAACCCCTCAACCATGAAGCCTAAATCCTAGACCCTGAACCCTAAACCCTATAAACCCTGATTAAACCCCAGAGCCCTAAACCCTAAACCCTAAACCCTAAACCCTATAAACCCTAAACCCTAAACCCTAAACCCTAAACCCTAAACCCTAAACCCTCACCCCCCCTAAAGCAGGCAGAGGCTGCGGCCGAAGCAGCGCGCGCGGCCGAGGAAAAAGCCGCAGCGGAGGAGGTGGCGGCTCTTGTCTTGCGGGGCTCGAAGGGTTTGGGGTTTAGGGTTTAGGGTTTAGGGTTTATAGGGTTTAGGGTTTAGGGTTTAGGGTTGAGGGGATTGCGGAGTTCGGGTTCCTCAAAGACTTGCCGAACGAAGGAAAGCGTAACATCTTCTGCATCTCAGGAATATTTCTTATGCTATGGAGGGGTTTGATTCTAACCTTGAATAGACCCTATAAAGTCAGGTACCTCCCCACAAAGATGGCATCATGAAGTCTCTTCGGGTCGGGGTTCAGACCTTACATTCTGAAATACGTGGTTTGAGGTAAGAAGTCGTAGAGTAGAGAACTTCTGGTTGAGGCCAGGACTACGGATAGGACATTGTGCGAACTAGGATACTTTGTGCACGATAGAGTCTATGTATGGGGTATCAGACCACATCAGGGCCATTTAGGGTTTCGGATTTAGGGTTTAGGGTTTAAGTTTTAGGGTCTAGGGTTTAGGGTGTAGGGTTTAGGGTTTAGGAAGTTTAGGGTTTAGGGTTTAGGTTTCTGTTGCAACTTTTCTGTTCCAAATACTTTTGCCTGAAGAGGCGGCGGCAGCTGCCAAAGCAGCTGCCAAAGCAGCTGCCAAAGCAGCGGAAGCGGAGGAAGAGGCAGGCCTAACATAGGGGTCGGAATAATTAGAGTTTAGGGTTTAGGGTTAGGGGTTAGGGTATATAGGGTTTAGGTTGCTAACAGTAATTCCCTTTTCCCTTATGGTCCCTGTATAGTTGTATGCTATACTGACCCCCCAAAAAGGTAATTCTAATTATTAAGGCCCCTGTATTAGGTCACTGAATTTCCTTCGACCGTTGGGGTTTAGGCTAGGTAGGCCCTTGGGACATTTTATGTTTTCCTTGTTGGCTTTAGGCGGATCATATTTTTTAGGGTACTCTTCAGTGGGTTTTTTAGAGTATGCTTTAGAGTATTTTTTAGAGTATTCTTTAGAGTATTCTTTAGAGTATTCTTCAGAGGGTTTAAGGCCCAACCTTGTAGGGTGCAGGGCAAATCGCCAGCCAAATCCGACACCCAACCCGCGCCCCTGCGTCTACAGCCTCCTTCCAGGATGGCCGATTAAGCCCTATAATCCCCAGAGTTAGCCCTCTAAAGGGCATTTTTTGGGGTTATAGGGTGTCATAGCCCGGCCTCCTTTCGGTGAGCATGAGCAAGTGTGCCTCAGCCGGCTTTCGAGGTTTTGCAAAGCTGCGTCTCCGTAGTGACATCCCGGCTTTGCCGCAAGCAAGAATTCCGCTGCTGGGTACGAAGGGTTTGTACTCCAGAACTTTCCAACCCGAAGAGTTCCTGTCAGTTCAGGCCCAATGAATGCTGAACTCATTGATAGTCATCACGTCCATGAAGTGGGGTTTAGGGTTGAGGTTCAGGGGGTTACGCCTGCGCCCTCAAACCACTTCACCTCAACCTACACCGAAGGCAACCGTTGACCTTTGCCTCGAACATAAACTATCCGAAGCTGTTCGCAACAATCCCTGAACCTGCTGAAACCTGCTGACACCCCAAAACCTCCCCCACAACCCCCGCAAGCGACTGAACCCTAAACCCTAAACCCTAAACCCTAAACCCTAAACCCTAAACGCCCTAAACCCTATAAACCCTAAGCCCTAAACCTAAACCCTAAACCCTACAGAAGCTGCTTTTTGCAGGCGAGAAGGCAGCGCGGAGCCGAAATTCTGGCAGCTCCAGAGCCTGCAGGGCCCCAAGTCGTTCAGGGGTAGAGAGGGCTTTGGGTTATTGCAAGTGTGCGGGAATAGGGTTTAGGGCTCTACCCCCCCAAACCCTTAGGCCCTAGACCCTAAAACCTAAACCCTATATAAACCCTACCCCCCTCCCTCCCCCCGGGGGCCTTCTTATTCTTACTATTCATTTGCCCCTGCGCCCTTCATTCCCAGTGCCCCGTGGGACTAGGGTTTAGGGTTCAGGGTGTAGGGTTACAGGTCGACTATAAAGGAGGGACCCTTGCAAGGGGCCTTAGGGGGAATGAAGGGGCTACTTAGGTATATAGGGACTGGGATGTTCCCCCTTATACTAGCAGTCCTTAATAAGGATTGCAATAGGGGGCTACTACAATCCTTATTAGAGGACTGCTGGAATAAGGGGGAACATCCCAATATAGGGACTTACGTAAGGTATACATAGGGGTTATTGATATAGGGGAATAAGATTAAAGGTCCGTGCAGCAGATTGACTCGATGTTCCGGTTTTGCTTTTCAACCCGAAACCCCAAGACCGAACCCGCAATTCTTAAACCCGAAGCTTGGGATGTTCCCCCTTGTACTTACAGTTCTTAGTAGAGAATAATAGCAAGAGGGGTTACTAGAATCCCTATTCAGGACTGGGAGTATAAGGGGGAACATCCCAACCCTAGCCTTAAGGTTTAGGGTTTAGGGTTTAGGGTTTAGGGTTTAGGGTTTAGGGTTTAGGGTTTAGGGTTTAGGGTTTAGGGTTTAGGGTTTAGGGTTCAACCCACAAAACCGAATCAGCTGCCCTCTTGTCTTTGCAGGCCACTGGTGCCGGGCCCACAGCAAGGAGACGTCTCCTCCACTGCCTGTGAGTGACCCTGCTTTAGGGTTTAGGGTTTAGGGTTTAGGGTTTAGGCTTTAGGGCCAGGAAGGAACAAATCCTTAGAAATGGTATCACGAGTAAGCAGGGGACCTCCACCCTAACCCTTAAACCCTAAACCCAGAACCCTATCATGATGGGAAAAAGGTCTTTTGCTATCTCATTCCACACCTCATATTATTTGCCCGTCTTCATATTGGGTGACAGGGAGAGAGCGGTTAACCTCTACTTTTCCTTTCGTACACCATCAATCTCATGACACCTTAACTCCTTGTCTGTTCACCTGTCATGTAGTTCGGTTCTTATGTCTTTTCACTCATTGAACCCTAAACCCTAAAACCCTATAAACCCCAACCCCGAAGAGGATCCGGCTCCAGCTGCCCTCGGGAGAGCGCCTGCAGCGCAACTTCCGCGCAGACCAGAGCTTGGAGGAGGCTCGCACGCCTAGGGTTTAGGGTTTAGGGTCCCTCAACCCTAAACCCTGAACCCTAAACCCTAAACCCTAAACCCTATAGAGTTTTGAACAAGGCTCAAGGTTCAGGACCGAAAGGTTTTGAGACGAGGGCTTAGGGCTGAGGGTTTAGGCCCTTTGGGTGCTAAAAGTAACCCTAAACGGATGTACATATACTAGGACGGGGAGTAGGCCCGTTTTTCCTTTTTTTAGGGTTGGGGTTCCCTTATAATCCCCTTAAAACCAAAAGGGCACCCTTTTTATTCCTAGTTTACGCCCGGGTCTAGTATATATACGCACCTTAAGAGGATCCTTTCTGCCTAGTTTAGGGTATATGACCCACAATTTTAGGGTTCATTTGGCCGTCTAGGGACGTGAGGACGTATCACGAGTTTCATACCAGGCCTGTACGAGCGCTTACCTAGAGTATCTTCGTACCCTAAATAGACCAAGGGAAAACTCCCCTTTTCTGTTGTTTAGTCGGCTCGTGACTTGGGAAACTCGGCGCAGGCTTGTGTTTACCTGTGTTGAGACTGGGCAATTTTGGGAATTTCGGAGTTGGGTGAGAAGCCGCTGCTATGCTGCATCATGCTGTTTTTGGCAGACGAGTTCCCGGGCACCATACAGGCTATCTAAACCCTAGGTCCTTCCAGTCAGGTGTAGGGTTAAGGGTTTAGGGTTCGGGTTTAGGGACCCTAAACCCTAAACCCTAGACCCTAAACCCTAGGCCCTTCCAGTCAGGTCTACGAGTGGGCCCACTGCTGCCGCCCGCAAGCAAAGCCGAAGTGCTTCGAGCAGCCAGGCTTTGAAGTGTTTGAAGCTCTTCTTGGCTGAGGGTTTCGGTTTTCGGGAACCCTAAACCCTAAACCCTAAACCCTAAACCCTAAACCCTAAACCCTAAACCCTAAACCCTAAATGCGCTCGTGGTTTGGGCGCCGGAGCTTTCGGTTCCCAAACCTGAACCCCTCCAAGTGCCCTTTATAGCAAGGAACCTCAGGATACCTTACAGCGGGTTTAGGGTTTAGGGTTTAGGGTTTAGGGTTTACGGTTTAGGGTGTAGGTTTTGGCGTTTCGGGTTTAGTGAACCCGAAACCAGTCCTTCAATCGCCTGCCCTACAAACGCCAAGGCCCCTGTACCTTGAACCCTTAGCCCACCGAAACCTTAAAGGATTTTTCCCTTCGGCCTCAAAAAGCCCAGGCCCCCGAAGCCCCATAGAAGCTGCACTGCCCCAAGCCCTAAACCCCAAACCCCAAACCCTAAACCCTAAACCCTAAACCCTAAACCCTAAACCCTAAACCCCCAGGCTCCCTAAGCCCCAGAGAAGCTGCACTTACTGCCCTGGGATCTGCGGATCTCAGGCTTTGCATCAGCTTTCCTGCAAGAACCTTGACTGAGCGGTGCGGATCTGAGAATTCGGGTTTAGGGTTTAGGGTTTAGGGTTTAGGGTTTAGGGTTTAGGGTTTAGGGTTTAGGGTTTGGGGTCTAGGGTCTAGGGTTTAGGGGCTAAAGAAGCTCCACTTGCTTCAGTTTGTGGGCCTTTCCCCCCTTGAACAGTCGAAGTTGGACTCGTCCCTCTTTATGTACACGATCCAGGGTTTAGGGTTTAGGGTTTAGGGTTTAGGGTTTAGGGTTTAGGGTTTAGGGTTTATTTTGATGATTCTTGGCAGCCCAGTGGTACCTTGGTTCTAGGTGCCCGTACAAAGTAACTAACCCCAAAAAGGGTACCCTTGTTATGATATGGTTACTGGGCTACCAGAGATTTTAAACGGGATGAGCCTATGTATGACTTTAAATATGATCGAGAGGCCCGGCAATTCAGTTGAAAGGCGTGCCACACTTACCTGTTCGACACCCGGAAGGTTTGAGCTATAATCGTGTATCCACCCCTCAACCTAAACCCTAAACCCTAACCCACCGGGCACCGAAAAACAGTCACTCGATCCTGAATAGCCCGCGGCATGATGTGAAAGGGGCCCCCTTGATTGGGCACCTGTATTATGTCTTTTTTTGTTTGTGGGGGGGGGGGGGTTCAGCTTTCGTAGCTTTGCTGCTGGCGATGGCACACGCTCTTCTTCAATGAGTGGCATGGCCGTTCTGCTCTACGGCGACGCAGTGGACTTGCAACTTGTCTTGATCCAAGAGGTGTTCTCAGCATGACCGCTTCTTCGAGTACAACAGCAACCTTGGCGGCTGCGGTTTCCACCCGGCAAGCGTATGCTGGGTAGGGAGGCTGCTGATCTCATCATGCTCCCTCACAACCATTCTGCGCGTTCGCGTCAAACGAAGGTTGGACATCTGTTCGGTGTAATTAGGGCATACCTACAGGCTCCTATGTAGTACCTTTTTGGGGTAGTATGCTAGAAAATCCCCCTATAGCTAACCCAAAACAGGCACTACATTTGAGCCTTCAGGTAGGCACTCGGTACGGTTCCCAGAAATGCGCGCCGTTGGACTTTGGAGGCGCCCCAGGTGTGGTCCATGGCATTCGAGACCTCTTGCTTCATTAAGCATGTGGGGAGGGGGGGGGTTACGAAAACAAGGGGACCCCAATATTAAGCTAGCATAGGGGGAACATCCCAACCAGGATGTTCAGATTGGCATTTTGGGCGTTTACGAAGATAGGGGAGCCCCCCCCCCCCCCCCCCCCCGATATAGATCCTCAAAATAGAAGGATCCCCTGGTTGATTAGGAACCCCCCCCCTCCAAAAAGGTACCCCGAATTCATTAGTAAAGCCCCATGAATGTGGTCAAGGGCCGATTGAAAACGAATGGACCATCTTCTTGGGGTTCAGAGTTTACAGAGTTTAGGGCTTAGGGTTTAGGGTTTAGGCGTGACTTTGAGAACGTTCACAAGGGAGAGACGTGCGAACTTGCCTCCACGCCGTAGCCCCCCCCGAGTACCCAAAGAACCCCAACCGCCCTAACGAAACCCTAGCCCCCTCAGCCCTTAAACCCTTAACCCTTAACCCTAATAACCTAAACCGAAAATCCCCAACAAGACCCGAAGCTTAAACACCCAGACCGATCGGTGAAGCTGAGGTCATCTACCCTCAAGGACAGAGCTTGTGCAACCTCTACTAGGATTTAGGATTTGGAGTTTTGGGGTGCTTTGAGGATGGTTAGAGTTTGGGATGCTGCGGTTGAGAAGGCTTGGGGTTTAGGAGCTCTGAGGGCCCACTGATGGGCCTTTATCCTAAGCGTAGCTTTAACCCTTCGGTGGGTCTTGGAGGTTCAAGGGTACTTCCTAACCCCAAGTATAAGCTTACTTCAAACCTACTTAGAGGACTTAGAGAGCTTATAAGCACAGTTATAATTGGGGTTCTAAGAGCCTCCAAGGTTTCGTGGGCTGTTCTCTGCGTGCGCGCGGTCTTGGGAGTACACTCTTCTTTTGAGCTGCGCTGAATACGCTAGACCCTAAACCCTAAACCCTAAACCCTAAACCCTAAGCCCTAAGCCCTAAGCCCTAAGCCCTAAGCCCTAAGCCCGAAACCTAAACTCTGCCCTAAAACCCCCCAACTTGAAGGTTGGGTAGTTACGAGTACTGCTATAAGAAGAAGCCCCGCTCAGGGTTATCACCGCTCACGGCTACAGTTCCCCTGTTTTCTAACCCCAGTTGAAACTACCCATGGGCCCCAAACCAAAACAAAAAAAACTAGCAACCCGAAGCAGAGCCCTAAACTGCCCTATGAAGCCCTGAACCCCAGGAGTTGGATTTGGTGCCCAGCGCTGCGCTGGTTCTCCGTGACGCGGATAGCTGAAGACCCTGCTGCAGATCCTTGGGGGGACGACTTGAGGGTTTAGGGTTTAGGATTTAGGGAAATGAACCCTAGAATGGTTTATGGTTCATATACCTGAAGAGGGAGTTTAGGGTTTAGGGTTTAGGGTTAAGGGTCTAGAGAAATGAACCCTAGAAGGGTTTATGGTTCATATACCGGAGTAGGGTACTGTAGTAGTACAGGGTATATGACCCCAATTGCAGAGTTCATTTGGTCCACAAGGCAGATCCTTGGGAGGACGTTGAGGCAGAGTCCAGAGGCAGCTCTTCCCGAAATCGGGTTTAGGGTTTAGGGTTTAGGGTTTAGCGGTTGGCGTTTGTAGGGGTTCCTACAATGAGGATGAGGGTCGTTCAGGGCTATACGGCTACTGGCGAGTGTACATATGGTTCATCATTGTGAGTGTATACACTAGCAGTCCTTTTGGGGATGCTAGTCACAAGAACGCAATCTCACGGAATTACACACTGTAGCCGACCCCCAGGAATGGTGTCGAAGTACACAGGGCCTGTGCTATCGGGGCATTGCGGCCCAAAAGCTGTGCCGCAAAAAGTTGCGGTTGCTGTTCCGTCCTTGTCTCTGCGGAGCTTACGCCGTACTCGACTCAACGCCCCGAAACCGTGCACCCTTCTGAAAATTCCTTACGCCCGTCTTTAGGGGGCTTAGGGTTTCGTAGCTTAAAGCGGTTATTCCCTAGGCAAGGGGGGGGGGAGGGTCACTGGGTGTAAACCCCTACTTGGATCGTGGGTAGTAGCTGGGGTTACGAGTCGTAGTTATAACCGGTTGTTTGGGGTACCTCTAGCCCAATTTCCCTAAACCCTGCAAACCCTGCACCCATCAACCTTCAACTAAACGCAAAAGCTTGAAGCCCGCAAACCCTACAACCCTAAACAACCCCAAACCCTAAAATCCTGCCCACTCAAACCCCCAAAGCTTCCCAAACCCCTAAACTCCCAAAAAACCCTAGACCCTAAACCCTAAACCCTAAACCCTAAACCCTAAACCCTAAACCCTAAACTTTTAGACCCTAAACCCGAAACCCGAAACCCGAAACCCGAAACCCGAAACCCGAAACCCGAAACCCGAAACCCGAAACCCGAAACCCGAAACCCTAAACCCTAAACCCTAAACCCTAAACCCTAAACCCTAAACCCTAAACCCTAAACCCTAAACCCTAAAACCTAAACCCTAAACCCTAAACCCTAAACCCTAAACCAAACCCCTCTAAACCCACCCAAAGCCCCCCTAAACCCTTCAAACCGAGCTGTGATGTATGCTCCGGCCCGGTCTCTGCATTGTTTCAGCCCTGCGCCGATACACAAAATGCCAGGGGTTAGGGGGGTTTAGGGGCTTGAGGGGGTTGAGGGGCTTGAGGGGGTTGAGGGGCTTGAGGGGGTTGAGGGGCTTGAGGGGCTTGAGGGGCTTGAGGGGCTTGAGGGGGTTGAGGGTTGACTTGAACTTGGCCCGGGCCTTAGCAGCATGGCCTTCGGCACAGTGTATCGGGTTTAGGTTTTAGCTTCAGCTCTAGGGTTTTTAGGGTTTAGGGTTTAGGGTTTAGGGATTCGGGTTAGGGGTTTGCAAGGTTGTTATGCAGGAGCCCAAAACCCTGTACTTCCAGGGCCTAAGACTTCCAGCGGACATTGGGGTTCAGGGTTTAGGGTTTAGGGTTTAGGGCTTTGGGTGTTAGGGTATCACAGTCAATGAGAGCCTGTGGGGTCTTGTCGGACGCCGGCTGCGTGGCTCACATCAAAAGGTCGGGCTACCAAAGTTTGCAAACCCTAAACCCGAAACCCTAAACCCTAAACCATAAACAACGCATGGCATTCATGGAGCACTCATCATCGACCACTACCATGACACACCCAAGCCATACCTTGCGTGCTCCAAACAAGGTAACCCTGTGAAGCCCATCAACTGTTGTAGAACAGCCCTACTTGGAGGTTCATGGGTACTTATAATCCCAAATAGTTACAAG